TCGTCGTTGTTGTTGCTGCTGTTGCTGTTCTTCTTCTTCTTAATATTATTGTTGCCGTTGTTGGTGGTGGTGTTGTTGGTGTCGATGGTGTTGTTGTTGTTGTTGTTGTTGTTGTTGCTGCTGTTGTTCTTGTTGTGGTCGTTGCTGCTGTCGTTGTTGTTGTTGTTGTCGTCGTCGTCGGCGGCGGCTGGTGGTGCTGCTGTTGTTCTTGTTGTTGCCCTTTTCGGAGATGATGACGATGACGGCGATGACGATGATGATGGTGACGCTGGTGATGATGATAAGGATGATGATTAGATTATGGTAATTGTGATAGTGATGGTGGTGATGATGATAATGGTGATCGCGATGATGACGCCGATGATGGTGATGCTAAAGATGGCGAAAATACTGATGGTTACGTTCATGGTGACCATGAAGATGATAGTGACGGTAACCATAAGAATGATGTTCAATCTGATGACGCAGATTCCGACGACGATGTTGATGATGATAGTGATGATGATGATGATGCTGATGATGATGATGATGATGGATGCAATGACGATGTTGATGACAATGGAGTTTATGTTGTTGATGAAGATGATGACGATGATGATGATGCCAATAACAACTTAACTTATGGCAATCATGCAGACCATGCAGAGGATGGCGGCGACGAGGTGGGATTACGATAACTACATCCAGTCGACAACGAAACACCACGACGACGACGACGACTACGACTTTGGCAACGACGACCACGCGGTGCCGGAGCCCGAGCCCTGCACCCTCCACTTCCTCGGCCCCAAGGTTTTGCTGTCGCCTCAGGAGGCTCGCCGCCGAGAGCCCGTGTCTAAAGTTAAGGGAATGATGGTGGGAGGCCCTTAACTCTTAGGGTGACAGTTCTTGTGGAGAGTGCAACTCGATATTAAGAATGATGCTTGGGAGGGATGTCCTCATGACGAGCTGTTTCCGCTTTCGACTAAGATTGCGAGTGCAATGTGAACATGTAGTCATTCCGAAATCATATTGAGACAGGAAGTGCGGCGACAAAGATTTCAGCGGCTAGCGAGTTAGTTGCTAGACCGTGAGACAACCCAGCGTGCGCAGCTGCATGAAACAAACCATCTTTCTACGACAACAGCAACTATGCGAACCAGTATGGGGCAAAACATACGTCAAACAGGGTAATCAACCTCGTCACCGACTCTGCATGCCCTCCTCCTCACAGTGCCGAGGCACGTCACGAAGCTCGAATGCCGAAGGCAAGGGATGTCTTCGGCCCTCGAGGCCTGGGTACTTCACATCTTGCGGAAGGCTATGGGACGCGCCTGTGGTGATATGACAGCTTTCGGGGATTCAGAGCCTGGGCAATGACGGCTTGCTCACGCATCTGTAACTGCACACAGACCGTGACACGGCTGTTCTTGCGCTGGCACCTGCGAGAGGCCCCAGCTTTCACAGAGTTTCGAAAGTTTTGAGGTAGAGTCAGTAATGGTGCGTGCCGCCGTTTCAACGTATGCTGGACATTCCCACGGTACCCTGTGCAAGCCCTGGCACCCTGATGGAAGCATCCTCAAACGCAACGCCCTTGTGTATACTCGTACAGTGTATTCCAGTATCCTCCAAGCTGTAAACCCCAAACCCTGTGTAGCATCCACACTTACTTCCCCCCTGAACTTGTAAGACATTATCTTTTACTTCCATAATGTACGATAACGTACTATAAGGTACCATAATGTGCCATAAATGCAGAACGGATATGCAATAGGGATTTCGCGGGTATTTTACTGCACATATGGTAACCGACGGTAGAAAGAGAGACCCTGAAGCCGAAAAAGAACAAGGGTCATACACGAATATTATTATGGGCTGTTCTCTAAGGTCCTTATTGTAAGGGTGCCGTACTATTTTGGGGACCAAAAGGTTTCTTGGGCCCCGCACGGCCGAGAGTCTGCCCTGACTGCCCTCGGACGAGCGATCCTGCAAAAAGGAAATAGTCTAAAAGGCCTCAGAACATGAGCACCCTGAATATCGAGGATTCTTGACTTATCCAGCCTCTACGAGCCGCCCACAATAGTCAGGGCTTGCTTGATCTTATCTTCGAGTTCCACGCCTGCGAATTCAAAGCGTGCACGTGATTCCACGGTGGCCCCACGGCGTCCGGGATTGCTGCGGTTTCAATACGAGGCAGTTGGTGCTAGGGTAAGCAATAGAGGAGGAGATGCTCAGGGGTTTAAGGCTCGGGTTGCTTGTCGGTGGACTGGGCACGTGTCCAATGCGGACTGTTCAAAAATCGGTTGCCGATCTCGAAAGGACTTTAGGTGGTGAGGTCATTTAATCAAGACCCAGCCCAGCCCCTTCACCCTGAACCCAAAACCTTATAAACTCTACACCCTACAAACCCGAAAACCCCGTTTACACCCAAACTTCTTATCAACGTTCAAGCCTGAGACGCGATAACATCAAACCTTCAACCCTACGACCTACGATCCCCAAAAGCAGTTGAAACCCTGAACCCTAAACAGTAAGCCACCCCAACCCCTAAACCCCTAAGCCCTAAGCCCTGAACCCTAAACCCTAAACCCTGAACCCTGAAACCCTGAACCCTAAACAGTAAGCCACCCCAACCAGTGAAGCCTCTCCTCGTCTTTCCCGTAGCCTCCGGCGAAGGAGAGCCCTGGAGATGAAAATCACATCACCCGAAACCCCTAAGCCACTAAATGGGAGTTTCCGAAAATTAGGGTAACTTATTTTGGGGTCCTTATAATAAGGATCCTACTATTTAAGGGTACTATATTAGGGTCCCCTATTTTCGGAAACCCCCAAATGGCAGGACCCTAAATTTGGGTCCTCTGCGGTGGCTTTAAGGGCTTTTGTCAAGTTTTGTTGGGTTTCGTAGGGATTAAGAGGACCCGTGTTACATTAGCTACATTAGTTGTATGGGTTTTCTAGTGGTGTGATAGGGGCTCTTCCTTCGCCTACGACGAGGGTTCTGGTTTCTGGTGAGGAACTTCGTTTGAAACACCATAGCAGGCAAACAGTGACATAGTACGTAGTATGCCTTCCTTGAAATGCAACATAAACAGCATCCAATCTTTAACAGCCCCTAAACCCTAAACCCTAAACCCTTAATAGAACAATACAAAAGGATAGAAGCTCTTGCAAGAGCAGATTGGGCTGAGGAATCCTTGCGCGGCAAGCCCTGCAGAGCTGGTACCCCCAACGGTTTAAGGATTTAGGGTTTAGGGTTTAGGGCTTAGCAACCCTAAAGCGCTCATGATTTAGAGTTTAGGCTTTCGTTTTCGTGTGCGGGGGAGCTTGTTTTGTTCTGTTTGATCAGGTTAGCGAACTTCTGTTCTAGGTTGTACTTAATCAGCAAGGTTTTGATTTTCTTGCTGGCTTACGTTATGGGTTTATGGATTCTCGGGCTCATAAACCATAAATCCGCGAACGCTAAACCCTGAACCCTGAACCCTAAAGCCCAAAACTTAAACCCAAAACCCTAAACCCTTAAAACCCTAAATCCAAAACCCCAAGCTTGCATTCTTCGCAGCGGCTTTAGCGTTGCAGCAAGTGAGACCCAGGCCGTCAGAGCTTCCGAAAGGCGACCACGGATCCACGGACTGCCCCTGCAAGGGTCAAGGCTGAGGGTTTTAGGGCTTGGGGATTTTGGACTTTGGGGCTTTAGGGTGTTGGGGTTTTGGGGTTTAGGGGTTCAGAGCTTAGGGTTTAGGGTTTAGGGGTTTTGGGGCTTAGGGCCTTCGTTAGGTTTTGCCAAAATTAGGATCAAGCCGGGCACTGGTTGCTCGGAACAGCCTTCAAAATCATCTGCTATGACTGCTATATCTGTTGTCACCGCCCTATCATTCATGCTACGACTACTATTCTTGCTCTAGTTGACATGATTAATACAACTGCTACTGAGGTTACGACTAACATCATCAACAGTCTTATCAACACTACTGTAGGGGCCTTAATAATTAGAATAGGGTTTTGGGGCCCATTATACTATAATTAGAAATAAGGAACCCCGAAAATAGTATAGGTAATTCTTAAGGCCACTATATATCTCCCGGGGTCAAAGGAATGGCTAGATGCATCCTAACTAAGCAGACGCTCCGTGATGCAGAGGATACTTCAACCCCTTCAAGGTTTCTAGTCCAAGTCGCCCTGACTACTCTGAACAACACTCCGACGATGACCAAGCGGAGGAAAACCGCCTCCATTAGATGCGACTGCGGGGGCCTGTTGCTGCTGAGCTACTGCTGCTCTTGGCTTGGTCTGCTGCTGGTTGCTGCCCTTCTATCTGGAAACCTGCACCGTTACCATCGTGATTCTGGGTTCGTTTGACGAGTTTAATTCTTAGCTGCTACAGATGGTCCCTCACGAGAGAGCCGAAGATCAAAAGGCACAAATCCCGGCACGAGGCAGCGCACCGGAAGCCCACCACCGGTGTCGGCACCATGCCTCGCAAATGGAGCTTTGGCTCCAACTTCCACATAAGTAATGACCTTTTTTCGCGGGGAGTCTTAAACTGCATCTCGGGTTGGCTCTTGGGTTTTCGGTTTGAAAGGGGTTAGCACTTAGGGATGTTGACAGCCTGGTGATGTCGGAGAACAGCTGAAGTTTGCACTGGAAACGCCAAGAAACTGTCAAACCACGAAAGCCAGCCCGTGAAGTTGTCCTATGCCGTCAACTCCAAAGCCTAAGCCAACCTTGCAAAATGACAAACGCGCAAGCCTTTAGTGTTCTAGCGCCAGCTACCGAACCAAAGCGCATCCGGAGTGGGCCTGGCTCGCTGAAACCCATCAACTTTGACGCGGGTGGCCTGCCATCAAAACCACGGGCTTTGATGGAATGCATTGCTTCATGAGCACAACTGCCACTTTTAGTTCGGCCGCACACACTCACGTGTATATGCGTATCTGTGTACAGCTTGTGCAATATTGATTCAATATTGCATGTAATTTTTTTTCCACGCCCATTCACCCCCTGCTCCCTACCCAGAAGTGTCGACTCGGGGAGTTAGCCAGAGTTGCATGCCTTTTCATTAACAGGCTTCCAGATTTCCAGCCTTTATATTTCCAGAATTCTGGATTTTCACCCTCTATGGTTCACATGTGGCCATCTGGAAATGTTGAAATCTCGAAACATAGAGGCAGGAAGCCTGGATCTACCTTCTGCTGCTTGTGTGATTTGTGTGCTGCTGCTGCTGCTGCTGCTGCTGCTGCTGCTGCTGCTGCTGCTGCTGCTGCTGTTGCTGCTGCTGCTGCCGCTGCTGCCGGCTACTGTTGCTCGGAAAACGTCTGCTAGAACCATAATGCACAGTGACAGTCACGATGGTGAAGACGCGAAGAATGCTGCTGCTGATGATGCTGGCTGCGCTGTTGCAACGAGCGATGGTACTGGCGCTGGCAATTGTAGCAACCGTGATGATGATGATGATGATGATGATGATGATGATGATGATGGCTGCACTGATGATATTGATGACAATGAAGCTTGCGATGATGATGATGATGATGATGATGATGGTGATGATGATGATGACGATTATGTGACTGATAATTTCGTGATAGGTAGGGATACGGCCGGTGCGGCAACTGCCGAGAAAGACAGACAAACAACAGGAATGAAGAAGGAACACATGTTGACGGGGATGGTGACGAGGGTGAAGACCATGACGATGAAAAGGGTTCGGATCACGAGCATGAGGGAGGCGATGATGATCATGGTGTGATCCTTTATGATGCTGGATCGCAGATGTCCTACACAAGGTGCAGTACCAGGGAACTTCATCAGACATCGGCACTGGAGTCCGTAGTTTGGCACTTGTGGAACATCTGCATCATCCAATAACGAACAAGCGACAACGCGGTATGATCCTGGCAGGAGTCTGCACAGGTATGCCGCCAGGTTCTCTCTGGCGCCGGAAGAGACCAGGTAGCCAGCATCAAAAGGTTTCGGGGCAGGTTCGAAAGGAGGCCTCGTTTCTGCCATGTCACTGGCGCGGTTTTCCCTGCCATGCCCCGAAAACATCCTGATGCCAGCTACCACGGACGCCAGCTAGTGAGATTAAGCCGCTGCATCAAAACTCCAGAGGCAGCCAGGCCCATCAACTCCAGACCTTGTGTCGTGGAGTGACCCCTGCAAGGAAACTCGGATCAGCCACCCACATCTCGAACGAATAAGTGCACTGCTCGTTGAAAGGGTATGACTGAGTGAACAGCTACGAAGAGAATCGGAAGCAGAACGGCAACCTGGTAACACAAAATAGCGCCAGCACTTGTACTAATACCAGCGTAGCAAGCGGTCTTCTCACAGTACAAGCAGTAGTTAGTCTTCGTCAGTGTTATAGCATGTTATAGCAGTAGCCGCAGCAGCCGTAGTAAGTCAATAGTTGATGCCGCTACTTGCACTCCCAAGTATTCGCTCTCCCTCTCTCTCTCTCTCTCTCTTTCTCCGGCTCTCTCCCTCTCTCTCACTTTAGATTTGCCTTCGCAAACTCATGCTGGTGGTTATTGCGAGGTGTCATGCCAAAAGACGTCGTCTAGTTCCTGACTGTGTTGATAGGCTGGTACTCTGCACCTGACGGCCCGCACCAGCACCGTAATATAGGGGCCTTAATAATTAGAATAGGGCTTTGGGGCCCATTGTACTACAAAAAAAATGAGGAGCCCTAAGGAATAATATAGGTAACTATTTCGGCTTCTATATGATCAGTACCAGGGCAATGGAAACTAAGCCGACCCGAACTTCACCAAGTAAAAAGACAAGGCTCCTGCAGGGGCATCAAAGGCGGCTGAGGAGACCCTCTCTATGCAATCCGGAGCTTCGCCGAATTCGCTCCACAAGTTTGGCTTCCCACCAAAAGCGCGAGTTCGCTGGGTGTTCCCTCAAGAGCATGTACTGGGCTGGGGATTCAGAAGGAGATCGCCAGAACAACGCATGCTGCACCCGAACTGAGGCATAAGGCCAGGCAGACACCGACGGAACGTGAATCCCAAACCTCGGAAGTTTTGCGAATGGCTTCCATGCAGGTAAGGGAGCGCACTATCCAACACCCTGCGCTTTCGTGTCAAGATGAAATTAAATTCTCTTCAGCTTCCCGCTGTCGGAAGGCTGGAAGATGACGCGGGGTCCTGAAGCTGACTCACTTTGCGGTTTAGGGTTTAAGGTTTAGGTTTTAGGGTTTAGGGTTTAGGGTTTAGGGGTTGGGTTTAGGGCTCAGGGCTTGGAGTTCAAGTTTGGGCTGGCAATGAGGGAAACGGACAAAGCTGTCCAGCAACTGGTCATGGAAGCAATGATAAAGCAAGTAGCGGCAGTCTACAACGATGTGATTTCCAGACCAAGAGGTACCACCACTTTTGACCCAAGACCCCAAGCAAAAGCTCCCACAACAGTCTGAAGCGACCCTGAAACCAAATGAAAGCCCCAGCAGCCGAGACAATCCTAGTGATCATGCGCCTCTACTGCGAAAGACAAGTCACATCAAACCTCCAAGCCGGAATAATGTAGGGGCCTTAATCATTAGAATAGGGTTTTGGGGGGGTATTATACTAGAACTATAATAAGAATCCCCCGAAATAGTATAGGTAAGTATTAAGGCCCCTACATTATCACATCACTGAGTCTATTCTACGGAAGGCCACAAACTCGCGAGCTATAAGGACATCAAATTCTGTTACGGACGAAGGCCAAAGAAGATTCCTCGGCCTCATACAGAGAGCTTTGTAGCAACTCCATCCTCGTCAAAAACCCACCAAATCCAACCTCTTTGTCTCAGTGACGATGATGCTGGCTATGGTCATCACATTATTATTCCTCTTCGTCGTCGTCGTCATCAGTTTTTCTACTGATCCCTTCCGTCGAACAAGCTCAAACTATTCCGGGAGTCCACCACGATCTCATCGGTCGTTTGCGGCTTCTCGCAGATCTGACAGGGCTCCAGCCAAGTCCAAGGCGACTGAGCCTGGGTAGGATCAGCATGTTTTCCGAGTCTTGACTTGAGGCACCGGGCAATAATTTAGAGGTCGGAATAGGATTGTAATAACGAGTGCTCCCTCAGAAGCCTTAATTAAGTACAGTAGCCTGTATCCCACGATCCTATTCTAAGTATTGAGGCCCTTACATTGCAGAAGTTTTCAGCTTACTCAGCTTGGCAATCTTCGCAAATCCGTCGCCCAACATCTGGAGATCGGAGAAACAGTCGGGTTTGGGGGTCTATTCTATTTCGGCTTTTTTGGAATAACGTAAGGGACCTTGTAATTAGTGTAGGGTTTTGGAGTATAGTATACGTTCCCAAAGTTGCAGTACGGATTTCGTGGATTCTCCAGGTTGCTTGTCAATTGAATGTGCTGAGCAGACAGAATGTTCGAACTTCCGAAGTCGGCGATTGTGAGGCTGGCACCCCAACACCACAACAAAAAACAAAATAATTCACTCACTGCCTTGAACAATCTAGGAATCCAGGCTTAAAGCCTGTTTTCGGTCATGACATATCTGACAACCCTTCGAACCTTTAACCAGGATCCCAATGCCAGACCCGACACTGTTCGGGACGTCTGCGGGGACACTGCACTGAACCTACAGCCCGCAGAGTCAGCCGTGAGGGTTTAGACTTTACCTTAAGAGCCCAAAACCCACTTTTTTGTAGGTTCTTATTATAAACCCTAATATGGGATTTATAGGGACCCTACAAAAAAGTAGGTTTTGGGTTCTTAAGGTAGGGTTTAGTGTATAGGGTTCCCTCCGTATTTACATCTCGAAGAATGCACCCTGATAACGACCTGAAGCCGTAAAGACCCACGGACGCCGCACCTTGAGGCTTATGCAGCGGATACTTCCCTTAGCCAGCCGGGGATCTAATATGATATGTGCTATATTTGTATGGTGTATTGTATGATTCCTGAAGCCGATCCGGGAAACCCAAACCGTCAATCACAAAACCGCAACTTCAAAAAAGCAACCCGTCAACCCTAAACCAAAACCCCACCCTAAAACTTAAACCCCCAAGCGTACAAACTCTAAACCCCTACACCCATTCCCCAAACCCCGCGCCCTTACCCCGTAACGAATGAGAGCGGGAAGCAGTGTCCGAGCTGGAGGACAGGCGACCCTGGACGGAGCTGGCCATGGACTGCAGGCCTGGTTGCGGGCTCGTTTTGGGGCATCGTGGAGTCAACAAGCGCACTGAAAACTTTTTCTGGGACGGAATATTTTTATATCGAGGAACAGCTGTATGATGACAATAAGACATGTCCGTAGGAGCAAACCTTTGCCTAGTGTGCCGAAGACTTTTGGATTTTGGCCGGGCTTTCGAACTCGAATTTACTGCGGCCTTAGACGTGAGATTCAGCGATCTTCACGGGCACGAGATGAACGTTGGGGCGGTTTAGGGTTTGAGGTTTAGTAGGGGATTCCTTAGAATATCGTGCTCTGGCCACGACTCGCTTTGCTAATCTGCGATAGAGCCACCTTGCATTGCCACAGACCCAGACTCAGATGCAGCTGTGGCCATGGACGAGAGTGACCGGGTAAACCTCGGAGGTTTAGGGTTTAGGGTTTAGGGTTTAGGTTTTAGGGTAAAGGGTTTAGGGTTTAGGGTTTAGGGTTTAGGGTGCATGTGCTCAGGAAAAGCATCCAGTGACCGTAAGAACGTGGCGAAAACACTACAGGAGCTGAATGCTGAGGATGAGGATGGCGCCGAGGGCGACGATGCTGATGACAATGACAGGTTTGTTGGTGCCTGCGACGGTGGTGGTAATAGCGGTGGTGATAGTAGTGGTGGTGGTGGCGGTGGCGGTGGTGGCGGCGGTGGCAGCGGTA